ATAAATCAATAAACGGTCAGTTAAACAACAATGAAACATGAGCAAATATGATTAAAAAAAAGTCATCAGAACAAATGTTAAACAATGGAAAGAGAAAGAAAAAAGAACAAAATTGTTTTTTTTAATTTTTTTTTTTGAGTTACGTCTTCGGTATGCGAAGAAAAAAGAAAAGAGAAACAAAAAAAACTGGACGAGCTATAATAAATGTTTTGAAAAAAACTGCAAGTAGCTGTTAATATTTAAACTTTTATAAAACTAAAACTAATAAACTGCGATAAACAAGCCCTATTTTTTGTAATATTAAAAGATAAAAAAAAAAAGAGAGAAAGTCAATTTTAAAAAAATCTTAGGAGTTAAGAGACTCGAAAAAATTTAAAATTTTTTACAAAAATCTAAAGAGTTGAGAGACTCGGAAGAATTTAAAATTTTTCACATAAATCCAAATTTAAAGGAAACAAAAAAATTTAATTCAAAAATTTTAAGACAAGAATGCAGAAATAAAAACAAAACAAAAAACAACAAAAAAAGTTTTCCTATGAAATTCGAAATAACAAAGTAACGAAAATCAAAACAAAGTTATATGATCTAAAAGATAAAAACTCAAAATATGGATTATATTTGCAAGTAAATGTTTAGGAAATGCTATGTATAAATTTAGCGAAGGAGTTCTGACTCTAAATGAAACTGTGGACGATAAGATACAGTTAATGAGCCTGTACTAATTAACAAAGAAAACTGGAAAAATCATAATATGAGGGAAACCCTGAATATCAACTCAAAAAAATAAAGTAATGATATCAAATGCTGATCCATAAATGTGACTTCATTAAACAATAAGTGATTGCGTTACCATAACATCGCAACCGATGTTATGGTAACGCAACCGATGGTAAAAATGATAGTATTTGTATATACGTCAAAGACTCAATAAAACCTGAAGCTTCAAATTATGTGTTACAAATTAAACAAAATGGTGTGCTATCGAAGTTGGAAATGACTCAATTCAATGCGGTTGCTGTTTTGGAATAAGTGCTATTCGGTTACCGTACAGTCCTGGAATCATGTCACTTTTTCTAGTGACATTCAATTCAGTATGAAAATTAAAAATTTAATCAAAGCCATACGTTTTATACTTTTTTATTGATATCAAACAGGGCCGTACCGTGAAAATTGGAGGGAGAGGGGTCGTTTTTGAAAAAAAAGGAGGTTTTAAAAAACCAAACAAATATCTTACTAAATTTACTTATAAAATTTTCGTAAAACATAGTTATATTTGTGTAAACAATGTTTACATAAACGAATTTATTGTTCTCCGTATATTTTTTCTATTTTTATACTGCTTAGGCGTTTAAGCAAGATTCTTGTTAGAAAACGGGTATCGATACAAAGATTAATAATACTTTGATAAATGGTT